CGTAGACTGGAGTGCCTACCACTGGATCTCAGCGATACCAATCTGAAGGGTCTCAAAGTTCTGGAGAAGCCGTTAGTACTACGGACATCGTCACTGACGGAATAATATGGCGGAAACATACCATAATAGCGACCTTGTCCTTGAAGAACGTCTCGCCAAAGTTTCCAATAAACCTGTCGCCAGTCGCCATGGCGCGCACATTCAAAGCGCACCTCCCGTCCGGCAGCGTCTCCACATAGTGCTTAGGCGTGTTGGTCCAAACCTTGTCGTGTCCCGCAAACTTGTAGCTCACGGTGGGGAACGAGGCGACGTTGCCGCAGTCGACAGAGTACATGGACTGGTTGCCATTGTTGATGATGGTGGGGTCCTCGAGCGTGAGCGGCTGGCCGCCCGTCAGGTTGACGAGCTTGTCGTACGCGTTCGGGGTGAGGGGGATGCCGCGCCCGTACGAGGCGTGGTCGAAGATGGAGGCCTTGCCCGAGCTGTTGGACGTGGGCTCCGTGGGCTGCAGCTCATCGCCGATCCAGAGCGAGTCGAGGGGCGTTGCCCAGTAGTTGTACAGGCCCGGAGAGTACTCAAAGGCCAGCGTGTTGACATCGGGGAAGACGTAGTTCGCGTACCAGTAGATCTCGCTGTCCTTGACGACCTGGTCCATGATTCCGCCAAAGGACTGGAGGCCGTCGCTGCCACCGCAGGTGGGTTTCATGGACTCTTCATAGCAGTAGACGAAGCTGATTGTCGGGTTCTTCCATTGGCCGGCCTTCCACTGCTGGTAGAAGGGCGACTGGAAGGAAGCTGAAAACGAGTCAACTCAACGTGCCTGTGGAAAGCTTCATGAACAACTCTTGGGGGCGTACCGTTGTCGCCCTTGAAAACAGGGGAGAGGCCCAAAACTCCAGTGAAGGGGTACGGGAAAGCAGAGAGATCAAAGTTGGTGTCAGAGAACTGCATGATGGAGTTTGAAGTCACCGGGCCGATCTGGACAGCATCTTGCGCATAGTCGACCGTGAGAGGTTCCCAGAAGAAGAAGTGGTTGGGGAGCCAGGTGCGGCTTGGGAAACGCTTCGATGCGTCTCGGTGAGATGTCGACTTGGCCGGGTCGTAGTAGAGCTGCTGCGCGTTGAGGCAGGCCGCGGGGTCGTTTTCTTCTCCATAGCACTTGGGCGAGAGGATGTACTGGCTGATCCAGGTCCAGTCTACAAAGATGGGGATTTCCTGAGGAGGGTTACCGATCTTCTGGTGGGAGAGGAACCCGAACTGGTTCCAGGTGAGTTGCATATCGAACCGATCGGCGGCCCAGCTGCGAGGGGCCCTCATCTTGCCTGCTTCAGTCGAGCCGGCCAAGAGTGGCAGCAGTACTGCAAGCTTGGAGAGCTGCATCTTGTCGATGTTATGGGATGGATCTCGGCGCAAGTGCTTGGCAGGAGGATGAGGGTCTATTATGAGGAATGGGTGAGGGAAAGGAAGGAGTGAGCTGATGAGTTTCGAAATGTCACCAGACTGTGATCAGGTCCTCCTTCTTAAACAATTCCTCTCTTCGGAGGTGGTCCTGGAGAAGTCTGGCAGTCAGCGTGGCCCTGGTCTCCGTTTCCGTCCCCTCTCGGAGGCTTCAGTGTGATCGAGCAAAACTCAATTCGGGAGAACAAGAATGTTTATTTTTGCGGAGTGACTAGTGACCAAGCCACAACTGGTATCCGTGAGATCGACAGCACTCTTCTTGCATCTCGTCTGGGTTCTCCATGTCTCTTTGTTTTGAATGTGAGGGAAGCCTAACGACATATGTGCGGTCAGAATCGAGATGAGGAAGGAAGAAATGAACGGGAATAGTAAACGACTTTTCCAACGTTGCCGCATATCCAACAATCTGGGACATGGTTGCACTGCCGGAGACACACACACGCAACTCTTTTGAGACTACCGTTGTTGTCGCGATGTCGTCATGGTAGCACACGATATCAAACAGGAGCCCTTACCACGGATCTCGATCCAATCAAGCTGTTAACGCTTGTGTGCGTCGCGCTCATGAAGTTTCCCGAAGACCGATGCCATGGTTAACGCCGTCGACGCATGACACCAAGGAAGATCTGGGGAACAGCCTTCTGATGTTTCCCTGGCTGCGGATCAATCACTCGCCACGCGCTGGCCCTCCTAGTCACCGCCGTGGTCGTCCAGTGTGCCATGGAGAACCTCCGCTGAGTCTAAAGGAGAAGCGTATGGCGCCTGGAAGTGGTCCTTTGGGTATCCGTGCCATCTCCTTAGCATCTTTTGTTACTATCGGAGCGTTTCCACGCTTCAAGGCTACGAGATGAATCTTCTCTGGAACACGATCCAGCACGGCTGGAGTCTGACATCGTCATCTCGGTCGTGAGAATTCATCGCCACTTTGCATCACAGTTTGCAACTTTTTGCCATCACGGATTCAGTTTGCAATGTTCGATATAAGACTTGGTCTTGGAGGAGGCTGAAAGTGCTTCCAGAAGGTCATCAACAAACTTTTCGGCGCATTCGGTCGTCAAAGGTTTTCGTGAGCATCTCGCCGGTTGACCGGCCTCATCAAGATCTAAAGACATTTTACCTTTACTCACCAAAGCCCAGCTTTTTTGCCAAGACTAATTACTCTTTGCTTTCGCTAAGATCACGACAACTACCGTCTCTTACTTATCTCATCATATTACTTACATTTGCCCACATCGATACTACCAACATGGAGGTTATCACTCTTCTCCAAGGAGACGAAGACTCCCACCTTACACCGTTTTTCATGTGCCACGCCATCTCAGGACTCGCACTACCCTTTCTTCGCCTCGAGGCTCTCAGCGAAGATGACGAGAGGCCAGTATACGGCATTACCTCCCCTATGCATTGCCCTGGAGGCGATGACTTTGAATTTCCCGAAACATTGCGAGATCTCGCTGCACTCTACGTCGAGAAGATCAAAGATGTCCAACCGATGGGCCCTTACTTGCTGGGAGGATGGTCAATGGGCGGTATGATCGCCATGAACATGGCCATGGTTCTGCGCGACCAGGGAGAACAGGTTACGAAGGTAATCATGCTCGACTCGGCCAACCCAGAGACCTTCCCCTCATTCCCCAGCGCCAAGGATCACCGCTCCCTCACCCACCTTACCTTTACCAGAACCGTTGCTGCCGATATCAGATTGATGGACGCCGACTGTTCTCCCATCGGGTCGCCCGTAATCAGCGAAAGTGAGTTCGGAGACTACCTGACCCCTAGCGAGAACCGCACGAGTACGTGGGGAACCTTCACAACAGAGGTTTCATACTCTAGCAGCGCTTCAAGCGACTACGAAGGCGATAGCCCGGCTTGGTCCCCAAGCACCCCCGGGTCACCAGCTTGCAGCAGTGACGCTGGATCAGAGTACTGTCCCGAGCAGAATCGAATGCTGGAAGACTTTCCTACGGAGGATCAGATCGACGCCGAGATTCTCACAGCAGCTCACGACCTCGAGGTCGCCAAACACGAAGATGGAGAAGAAGATGAGGAGGACGAAGACGCGGACCAAGACGAAGAAGAGTTGGACGACAACGAGCCGGACCAGGTCCGCGACTTTCTACAAAAGATCAAGAAGCACATCCACAAAGGCCTCGGTCTCATCTCGACCGTCGAGCCGGGCCAGCTACTCCCCAAAAATGGCGTCTCCGACTTCCACACCGTTCTCATCAAGTGCAAACCCGACCCGTTCGACGACCCCAACCTGACCCAGCGAGAGCGCGAGGGCGTCATCTTCGTCCGCTCCGTCATGCGCGAGAAGGCCATGTGCTGGGAGGCGGACAAGTTTGTCAAGTTTGAGACGGTGCCCTTCAGCGGCGACCACGATGGCGCGTTTGAGCCTCAGCACGTGGGCGAGCTGAGCGGAATTTTCAGGAAGTGTTTGCAGGATCTGCCGTGATCATGGCATTTTGGAGGTCGTCTCCCTGGTTGAAGTCCTGGCGGCTTCATGGCTTGTTCTTCTTTAGTGTTGGGATTTGTGCTTTTAGGCGCGCATGCATTGGAAGCGATGGATGGCGACGTGACTTACGGTGTTATTGGCGGCATTATTGAGGGCGTTTGGAGTTGATTGCATCTACAGGTCGAATCGTATTGGTGCGTCGGTAAATTAGACATATCTTAGGCAGTTACTCTAGTAGCTCACAAAACTGCATTAACTTTATACCGAAGCTATTCACAATGCTCAATACCACCATCATTACCGCGCATTTAGGGATACAGGGCGCAAGAGACTTCTCTAAAATTGTCCTTAGTCTTCGTGCTTAATTGCCAGAGGCCTCATCTGACCCCCAGGCGGCGGGTCAATTGATGGGACTCGTAGCTTGGCAGCTGCGCAACAAGGCTTGTTCGAGGTATTGCGAATCTCGATCGAAAGGAGAAGCCAGCAGGAAGTAAACAACTGACGTCGAAAAGAGCTGCAGTCTTTGTTTACATTCTTCATCTCCGTGCCCCTCTCCGACATATTGCTTAAGCTCGCGGAGGTATAGAGTCGCGCTTAGACTTCCCTACCCCTGCTTCATCCGGATGAAAGAGGACTGGCCTCCGCCCCCATCTGGATGCATGTCTCCTTCTCCACGGAGATTTTTAGCTGACAGGCGTCTCAATGTTCCAGAAGTTTAGACTACGTTGCATTCGTGTAACACTGAAATGTGACCAAACTCAGTTTTACTCGGCAAAGCTTGGTGATCACGAGTGCTGAGAGTATGAAATGCCGCCGGCAGATCAAGAGCGTCAGTGACGTAGCCCTGGCTGATTGTGGTGTATTTGTATCTAGTTCCCAAATACAGCATTTGACTTCGGTGTGAATGAGGCACAACTGGGAAACGCGTTTGATGGTATAGTATTCATAACAGTCAATTCATTTTACAGAGGAGTCTAATAACCATAACCTCATTAAGTCTCAATTCTACCTTTACCACTGCTAAAAGCCCATCGCTCATTATTGATTGATTATTCTACTCACTGAAACGATGTGTGCCACAAGTCTCTCAACAGCCCGCCATGATCTCGGGCCACTTCCTCCTAGAAATCTTCACTTTCAAGTCTCCCTGATAAGATGTCAGCAAAAGCATCATAGATTCCCCGAGAATATTGGACGACCTACCTTCAGCCAAGGCGAGCCAACCTTGTCAAAATCCAGACCTTCAAAGTCAACAGTTTGGGGCTGGTCCGGCGAAGCCCACGTAACATCATAAGACCGCAGCAGCGTCGTCAATGTCTGCGTCACAATGATCATGGCCATCTTCTCACCAGGGCATCGATGGCTGCCGCCGCCAAACAGCATACTCTTCACACCGTTGCCGTCCTTTTCTTCGAGATTAACGAGCTTGTTCTCGGCATTGAGCCACCGTCCGGGCATCCAGGCGTCCGGGTTCGGATAGTTGGCGGGATCGTGGTGCGTTAAGTAGGGGGAAATGGACACGACTGAACCCTTTGGCACGGTGATGTCCGTACCTGGGACAGGCACTTCCTGCATCACGAGGCGGAGGCACTTCATTCCTGCGTAGTAGCGCATCGTCTCCTTGATGCAGGCTTGGAGGAGCACCGAGTCTGTGTTTCCGTTACGGGCATCTCTCTTCACGGCGGCCATGACATCAGGATGGCGTAAAAGCTGGGAGACGTTTGTCAGTTTTGCTTCTCATTCACGTGAAGAGATGAAGACTATACGCACGCATACCACGACCCACGAGATCGCAGCGACTGTAGAAGTGTGAGCAGCAAACATCAAAACAGTGTGATGAGAAGGAAGATAGTGCCTCAGAGGCGCCATGCTCTGCTCATGCAGTGTGTGCGTGATGTAATCCGGCAGGTCGGTCTCGAGGTCACCATTCTTCGCCGCGACATGTCGCTGGCTAAGCTTTTCCCAAAAGATCTCCTTCACACGCTCGCGGGCGCGATGCAGCCTCCTAGCCGGGGGGTGAGGCACCCAGTCAGGCAGCACAAAGGACCAGATGCTGCCAATGTCGGACTCCATCGCGTGCAAAAGGCCCAGGAGCTCACTGCTCGATTCGTAAAAGTCATCGCCCATCAGCGTCCTGACAATGACCTTGTGCGTCAACTCGGATACTCCGTCAAAGAGCTCCACATCGGTCTTGGTCGTCCACTCGAGTGCGCATCGGTGCGTCTCCTCCACGGTACAATTAGCTATGTGCGCCTGCGCCGTGGCGCGGTTGATGTACCGGCTGAGGGAGCCGACCATGACCCTGATGTTATCCATGTATCCAGGGTCGAGGATCTTGTTGAGAAATATTCCCTAAGAATCACATGTGAGTTGAGACAAGTCGGACCTTTCAATGTCTCAAACCTAGGGTCGAGGTGGCTTATCTGTGAGAAAGGGAATCCTCACCATTCCGTGGCCGAAAGACCAAGCCTTCTCGGGCATGTCGAGATAAGCCTTGTTGAGCTCATTTCCGCGAAGCCAGACATTGTGGACTGTCAGGATCTGAATCGAGAAGATATTACCGCATTGTGATTGAGCTCGACGGATGAGCGAGATGGGTTTGACTGCGTAGTCGTGGGCGTCGCTGAGGAAGGAGAAGAAGCCCTCGCCTTTGTAGGCGGGGATCGTCTTAGGCTTGGAATACCATCTTGCTAGAAGTATTACTGCTACCAAAAGTACTGGAAAAATTAACATGATTCGAGGAGTGAACGACGATTGGACCGGCGGAGAAACGAGTGTGACTGGTGTATGAGCTAGACGGGCTCGCGGATACACTCGAAGAAAGAAAACAACGAGAAATATTGGTGGACTCGTCCAAAAAAAGGATCTGGAGGGCACGAGTCTTTCTTAAGTCCACCAAATCACCAATTTCCATGAACACTGAGAGATGCTCGACGGCGGAGGTCCGTCCGAAGCCAACGAGACAACAACAAAACAACATTTACCCTCGTCGTGGATGTTGAGATGAACTCCATCGCGTAGCCAAGGCCACCCAAAACACGTTGACTTGTCGGTGAAGGACGATTTTCTTGCTCCGGTGGGTAAACAAAACGTCCCTCCGAAAGGCCTCGGAATGCGGTGATGTCCAGGCGTTGGGTTCAAGGGATGATTTAGCCTCGTCGATCTGGGGTATGAGCCGCTCCATCGAAACTGTGGCTTGAAGTGGCTCATGTCTGAATATTCTAACGTATTATTTGCATCAATCTTAAAATCCCGTGACTTCAAGATCCTGCATATGCCTATTTCAGCTTGAGGATTTCCGAGAACAGTCAGATGTGACTCCCATCGTCCCCTCGTCGACATGCTTCAGCCCGTCGGAGATCGCGAGCGCCTGACTCCGCCAATCCTTGAGCATAGCATAGACGAAGCCTAACCTAATGGAATCATTTTCACATATGGAGTTTACAAAGATTGGGCCTCTTTGCTCTGGGGTTCGGATGACGGAGAGGACTTGGGTACTCATGGTTGTGCGGCCAAGGTCCGCCTGCGCCATGGACATCTCGATCTCATAGGATCCATGCTGCTAGCGTTATGCCGATCACTTAACACAAAGAATCGTCTGATAATATGTTCAAATGGGTAAGAGAGGGCTCCGCCGGAAGCTTTTTGATGGCTTGGCTTCGTCGGAGGTAAACATGCTAGTCGGTTGTTTCTCGTATATTGTATCCATCACATTTGGGCAACTGCCCTTCCCCTTGAAATGTGCGCTTGCAAAATGAAACAGATTTTGCATTGTGAGCTTCTAGAACGTCTCACGGGATGAAGATTCACTTTATTTCACCGTCGGTTCCCGGTGACGTACGTCATGCCATGCCCTCTCCGAGGGACCGGGTGGATTGCTGTGCCGTAAATATACGCAAACGGGCTGTAGTACTACTATGGCCCTGTCAATGTCGCGTGACCCTTCAGTGGCTAAATCTGTTTCTCTTGTTTAGAGAATGGATACTGATCTAGAAAATCTCCTCCACCATAAACCCTCTAGTCCCTGCCCAATTCCTAGCATCACCACATCTCGACACCTGTCTCCTTGGCAACTGCTCTCCTTGCTTACATCAACGGTCTAATCCTAGCATTTTTCATGCTTCTATCCTCATGGCTAAAGGCTTGCTTTCATTCTGAGTATCATGGGCTTTCATTTCCTACTACGACTGAAGGACCACCTGAACGCAAGCACTACTGGTAGACTCATGTAAAAGTGTTGACGATTAGGCCAGTGCTCTGAGATAAGTGAAGGAACCTTCAGACATTCGACATATATTATGAAGGAAAGTCGAAACCTTTCGGTGATTTTTGATGCTCTCGATGCTCAACTTGACGGATTGCAGAACGCTCTATGCCCAGGTTAAGGAGTCTTCCCAGGCGCTTGCCTGAGGCACCTAAAAGGTAAGAAGCCTAGAGCCTGCCAGTCCGCTCTTCTGCCCTATTTTTTTTCTTTGCGAGCCATTATTTCTTGTCATTCTCTCTGCATGATAACGCGAGCTACGGCAAAATGAATGCCAATGTTGACGCGATCCCGTTGTTTTATCTGGTGATCTTGTCGTGCTAACCCAGGGAACCCCGAAATGCTAGAATTTGAGCTTATTCACTCGAGGCAAGTTCGCTTGCTTCAAGAGTCGAGGGGTCACCTGGATTAATAGCCAAGTCTTTTCAAGAGCTGCTGGCTGTTCTTTTACAAAGCATACTTCCGATGTTCTCCGGAGTCTTCCGTGTTGACTCGGACGGAGGCTGTGCCATCTCAGCCAATCACATCTTGACACCGGCCGTTGCGGCCGGATCCACCCCGGGGCTCCCATCCGTCCCCTAGCGGAGGAGCCCAGGTAACAGCATCCAACATATCACAGCCACTCTCACCCAAGCCGGACTTTGCTCTTGGAAGACCATTTCGCTAATTTAATCCTTGGCGTCTCGTTTGACTATCGACCGATTGTGCTTCGTATTATACTTTTGCCAACTAAGGACCAAGACGGAGGAAAGAGGGCTGTACATATTCTCGATTTTGTGGTCTGCGAAGCAGAGGAGAAGGGGGTCCAAAAGATCATCGCCGCAATGTATTTAACAGTCACCCGCGACCTTCCGGAAGAACTCCTTCCTGCCCATCCAGCAACCACAGACCATCCTCCTCGTCAACGAATCAGCCAACCCGCCAGAGCTCCTCGCCATGCAGCTGTCACTTCTCTTCGCTGCGCTTTCTGCGCAGGCTGTCCTTGCCGCACCTCGAATAAAGAGGGACGCCCTCAAATCGTGTGTGGAGGAGGTTTTTGGAGGGAACGCGGCTCTGCGCATCGTGACACCGACTGATCCTACATACCACGATGCGAGAATCGGGGAGGCCATCCAGTGAGATCCGTATACTGCCTCCAAGTTCAGAACACAGTGCTTACCGTATGGTCAACAGGTTTACACAGATGCCAGTGTTGATTGCTTACGCGGAAAAGCCATATGAAGTTGCACCCTTGATACAATGCGCAAAGACCAGTGGCATCAAAGCAGTCCCCAGGACCGGCGGTCACCAGTGAGCATTCCAACATTTTCAAACTTACCCTCGGCGGTTTCAAAGTAACTCACTTTTCACAGCTTCCTCGGATACTCCGCCCTCCAAGACTCTCTCGTCATCGACATCACCCACATCGACTACGTCAACATCGCAGCAGACAAAAAGACCGCCACTGTCGGCGCCGGCATCCGCTTCGGCGCCCTCTACACGGCCCTCGGCCAGCAAGGCCTCGACTGGACGGGCGGCATCTGCCCCACAGTCGGCATCTCAGGCTTCCTTTCCGCGGGCGGCTTCAACATGCAGATGCGCCAAAACGGCCTCGGCGTCGACAACGTCGAGTCCGCAAAGGTAGTCACCTCGAACGGCTGCATCGTAACAGCCTCCCGCGACGAGAACGCCGACCTCTTCTTCGCCATCCGCGGCGGCGGCGGCGGATCCTACGGGGTTGTCATCGAGTGGACGCTGCGCATGTACGAGTTCCCGCGCTCCGCCATGGTGTACCTGCAGTGGAACGGCTCCGACACGCGGTTCGATATCGCAAAGACGTTCCACGAGTGGGCGCCCCGCGCGGACAGCGCTCTCAGCTCGCAGGTGAACTTGTACAAGAACCGGACCGACGTGATTGGGTGGTGCTACGGCTGCACCCTCGACAAGCTGCAAGGCATGGTGAACGCCTCGGGACTGCTGGCCATCGGGAAGCCGGCGGCGTACATCTCGGGTGGGTGTAACACCATCAACGCCCGCCTCTTCGGCTACGGCGTCAACGAGTGCGGCGCCGACGAGGCCGTCGCGCAAGTCGCGCCGTTTGTTGTCAACACGATACAGCAGCCGTTTGTCCAGCTGCCGGGGTATGCAAACTTCACTTACAACGAGACGACAAAGGCGCCCGAGCTACCTCCCGCACAGCCATGGGCGCGCTTCATTCGCCTGTCCAAGTCGTTCATGGTCCAAAAGAATAGGCTCCTCACAGAGGAGACGATGAGGAACGCCATCTCGCGGATCGACGAGCTCGACGACGCGGCGCAGGGGTGGATCGAGTGGCACGCGTGGAACATTTCGGTCGCGGGCGATGCGGCATTTGCGTGGCGCGAGCAGGCGTATTCGCACATGGAGTTCATTGTGTCTAGCTCCGCGGATGAGAGGGTCCATTCTGGCTATGTGAAGTGGTTCAAGAGCCTGGAGGATTACCTGCGTCCGCTTGTTGGGTGAGTTCTTCTTCGTTTTTGTTGTGTTTTAGGTCTGATGAGAATGAGTGACTGACGCGAGTGACAACAGAATGGCGAGTTACTCGGGCTACATGGACGACACGATTTCTACCCCTCCGCTTGATTCGTACTATGGCGGCAACGTCGCAAAGCTGTCTCAAATCAAGTCCAAGTACGATCCCCAGGGCTTCTTCGCGAATGTAAGAGTATCAACTGCCAGATAAGCTGAATGCATCGGCTAACGAAAAATACAGCCTCTTAGCATCAAAGCTCTGTACCCAAACCAGACCGTAACTGGAGACAGCTGTCTGTAGATAAGGTGAAGACAGATCAGGGTACAAGGTTACCGAAGAACCGTATGACTGTGACGTCAGAATATAGTGTGCTTGATGACAAGCTGTAAGTCAGTTCTAGAGCGAGAGATCTCCGTCGATGGAAATGTAATGTAGCTGAAATATCATCCCTTCACCCGCGCATGATTGAGTCAAGAAAATCCACCCGATTGGGTCCTAAACATCAGATGAGTTGAACAAGCTCTGTTGCCGAGGCCGTATCTCGCGCGGGGTCGACCGTGCAATGTCCGTCACTTTGAATTGGCTTTTTTGCTGCTTCTTCCTCTCACTCTCACATTCGTATTCTGATCCCAGATTGGCAGATGTGCCTGCAGAAACAGAAGCACCATGAACACCACACTGGACCGAGGAGCGCCAAGGCCTGATGAATTGAGCGATGCGGGATCTCTCTTAAGGTGAGTTTATAAGATGAACGATGATTTTATTTACTATCTAGTTGTGATTGAGCGAACTGTCGAGTTATTTCATGCGAAGTAATAACATCATCTCGTCTTGTCCGAAAGCGTCCGTGATAGAAGAGGATTTGAGGCGCCCTTGGACTTCATGCAGCATTTCTGTTTTTCTCATCCAAAGCCTGTTTTCTGGATTCATGGTTTTCAGCTTCTTTCGGCAGGTTCATTCGTTCTTCAATGAGTGCCCAGAGTCGAGAATCTCTGCATTGGGCAAACCGCTTCGGTCTCAATCACAAAACTCACATCTTCTCATATTCATATTTCCCACTGACCAGAGACCAAGGCAACCCCAGACCATAATCTGGCTCAAAACCTCAGACCAGTCCTTTGCAATCCACAAGTCCCTCCTAGTAGAGTCCTCAAAATACTTCCAACGCTGCCTCGACGGGCCCTTCGCCGAGTCCCACACAAACACAATCGACCTCAACGACACCGACGACAACGCAGACGCAGACGAAGACGGCGCCAAAGTCAACGTCACCATCAGCCCGCTAACACTAGGCACCTACGTGAAACTATGCTACTTCACCCGCCTCACAGCCCAGCGCGTCAAACGCTGCCGCCGCAACGCGGCGGACCACCCAGGCGAAGACGCCGTCTACTATGAGGTCTCCCCCTTCTCCCTGAAACCCTGCGACATGCACACCCCGCACGACCTGACAGAGCTCGTCGACATGTGGTCCCTCTGCGACCGCTTCCACGACGACCTGCTTCTGGGCAAGGTATCCACCGCCATCCGCGAGACGCTCGACGTCGGAGCCACGAAGCTCGGCGGCAGCTGCGGCGGCGGCGGAGGTGGGGATGCACAGCAGCAGCACGGCGCCGAGTGGTGGGTCTTCAACTTCGCCAACGGCTACGTCGCGCTGGCGAGCCTTCACCGGAGACGGGATGACGACGTCGAGGGGTTGATGGAGAGGTTGCGGGATCTTTTTGTCCAGAACTGTTCGCCGGCTTCGTGGGAGAGGCTTGCGAGCCAGTTGCCTAGCGAGTTTGTGGTTGCGGCGTCGATTGCGTTTCAGGCCAAGATGGCGACGTTGATGCCGCACGAGGCGGCAATCGCGAGGGTCAATGGGGCGAGTCTGTGTTATGAGTGTAAGACTAGGGTCCAGACGGCTTTGAAGAGATGAAGATAGATATACGTGTTTCTCTTACATTCGTTTCTAATGGTTGTTTCGGCTGCAAATGGAATGCCAAAGCGGTTAGTCTCAACTGCGACAGCAGAAGAGGAACTCCTTCAGGCCTGCCATGAGGGCTATTATTGAGTTGATGCGATATCCCTTACACAATGAAGACCATATCACGTCTGCCTTTTATGGTAAGCTACGATGTGTTTGTTTTTGTTTTCCAGCATTGGTGGTCTTAGATCCTTGTGGTTTCCTCTGTCCCTGCATCTTGGACAAAGCTAATAGACAGAATCGCTGGTTGTATGAATGATTCTCATGTTCTGAAAACTGATAGATAGGCCCAGACTGTGGCTATTCCACATCAAGGGCTGAAAATCGTTATGGCCACCTGCTTGGATGACGGTGAGTAGCCCTCGATATCTCTAAACTGACATGAAATGGAGCTTCACCTGGTCAACGTTCACGAGATCCCTCAATCACCGTGATATCCCGCAAAGAATTATGCTTGAAATGTAAGGCAGATATCATTGGGGCACGTAATACCTGAGCTGAAGTCTTTCCTCCCACCCAACCATCTTTTGTATGCGCCACAATGGTGTACATGGAGCCGACACCCCTCGAACCCCCTTCTATATGCACCTAACCTGCTTCACCAGCTTCACAAACACACTTCATCATCTCTTTTGAACTCTCTTACATCAACATCCATCCCATCCCATCCTCATTGCTTTCCCTGACTAACATCAGGATACACATCAAACCTCCTCTGCGAATTAATAGGAATATTCCTCCTCGCCTCCTCAATCTTCTCACCCTCCAACTCCCACGCAACAGTCCCCTCCCCTTCCTCCGCCTCAACAAGTACATTCGCCATCGGATCGATAATCAACGAGTGTCCCCAAGCGTGGTACGTCGCGCCCAGGTCCCGCGCGGGACTGCACATGGCCACGTAAATCTGGTTATCCACCGCCCTCCCCTGGCCCAGCAGCCGCCAGTGCATCGGCCCCGTCGTCAAGTTGAAAGCGCCCGGGTACACCAGTGCGAAGCAACCCCTGCGCGCGGCGATGGCCGCCAGCTCGGGGAACCGCACGTCGTAGCAGATCGCCACGGAAATACGTCCGTACTCGGGGAGGTCCACGACGGTGACCTGGTCGCCGGGGCTCAACACCTCGCTCTCCTTGAAGGTAATCTTGCCCGGGATATCGATATCAAAAAGATGCACCTTGCGATGCGTCGCCAACAGCTTTCCCTCGGGCGAAAAGATCAAACTTGTGTTATAAAATTTCCCCGTCTCAACATCCAATTCCGGGACGGAGCCACCAACGAGGTAGCTCCCGCTCTCGATCGCCATGGCCGCCAGCGCGTGGAAGCTGGGGCTCTGCTCCTTTGTCGGCGGGGACGGGAGCAGCGTCTCGGCGTATTTGGGGAAGTAGTCGCACCCGTAGGGCGAGTTGAAGCACTCGGGCAGGACGACGATTTTGGCGCCGGCGGCGCTGGCCTCGAGGACTTTGGCGCGGGCGTTGGCAAGGTTGGCGGCCTTGTCGGCGCCCGAGGCGAGTTGGATGCAGGCTAGCTTGACGGGCTTCTTGAGCACCGGGGACGGGAGGGACGACATCTTGCGGAAGGTGTTGCGAAAGGGGATGAGGCGGTGGGCGCGAGGGGTGGTGATGGATGTTGTTATAGTGCGTAGGGTGCGGAGGGCGAGGCGCATTGTATGTTGTAAAAGAGGAAGGTATTGAGTGCTTTCCGAAGCGGCGGGCGGAGGAGGGGGGTTGCGACTTGCGAGTGACGTTTGGTTCGGCGCGGTGGTTGTGGTGGGGGGAGGAACGATAACGGCGGGGTAGCTGCCGTGACGGGCTTCGCGGTCGGTGCTCATCCCTGAGGTTCGGCTAATGACGGCATTTCACACTGTGTTTGCCAGCGACTTTGGGGTCAGATCCATACAGTGCGAAATATCATTCACAGCCCCGAATTGTCCGATCCGTTATCGGGAAATTGAGTTGGTTCGGCCCGGCTCCGATCGGCCTTTACCTTGGGCTCCCCCGCGTCAAACCGCCGCGAATCACCATGGTTTTCTCCTTGGACATTCCTGACTCCTTGATCAAGAAGGATCCTTGCTCCTCATCATCCTCATATACATAAGGTACCCAGTATTATAACATCTCAAGTATTGAATACACGGCTAAAATCTTTCAAGTCCTCATTACCGGTCTTGAAATTTATAAGAACATTTGGGGTATGCCACCTTGAAGCACGACAGACCTCACCAAGTAGAACAATTTCAATTCTCCAGCCCCATCTCTCTATCCCCGAAACACAGGAAACACAGACACCATCGTCATGCCTACCATCCCCCGTGGTGATGAATACCCTCACACCTACACTCACCCGGGCCGAGGGGGTAAAGGAATGCTCCCACGTAGTAAGCTAGGGAGCAATCCAGAACAGACATTCCATAACCCAACAAAGATCCCAGATCTCAACGCTACGGGAACCGGGCTACAGCTTTGCCGTGGCATGCAAACTGAACCCACCTAACCCAGCAGCATCGGAACCTAACGAAAGACTCGTTGCGATTCCCGTGCCACAATATACATTCCAGATCACTTTACATGCCAGCAAAGGGGGAGAACCCGATCAATCGGTAACCTCATGACCACCGGTTGGTCGTCCGCCGCCGATTTTTCCTTTTTCTTTTTCCTTTTTTTTTTTTTTTTGCCTTACGCTAGGCGACGGGCTTAGATAGAATGTAAAGAAAGTAAATCAGAAACACCAACGACGTGTAACAGGCACGCACCCTTCCGTGGCTGCTCCAATCTCTCATCCACCCGTCTCTCCAGCTTTTTCGGCAACCTGCCTGGCGACGTTCGTCCGGTCATATCAGCTCTTCCTTCCCCGCGTGAAACATTTCCCTCGTAAGCTTATGTTTGGGGTACTACACATTCCGAAACCATGACAGTCCAGCCCACCAATTCTCCTGGCCGCAAGTATCAATGAGAGAACGACGTAGTATCAATGACCGTTGCAGTCTGGTCCCATCCAGTTCCTTGGGGTCGGATATGCCACTCCTACATGAAAGTTTAAAATTGAGGCTGATGTTTCTTCAATGCAAAAAGTGTTAGGCATTGGAGGCTCGACCGAAAATAAACTCCATCGAACAAGATCCCTTTAAATGTTTAGAGCATAAGCATTGGGTGGTCATCAGACGGAATTTTCAACATGTTTTATCTGATTTTTTCCTTTTCTCTTGTAAATGAGATAGATGCTTGCTCTGTAGCCCTTGGCGCTTCCGCCTCGCAGCATAAACCCACACACACATGTCTTTCCCTGACCCCCAATGTGAGCGGCAAAGCTTTGAAACACTTGATTAGGTATCAATCCATCGTTACGCGAATCCAATTCTCCTCGGCCTCTCTCTCCCTATGCTCCCGTTTCGTCTCATACGAGCCGCCCTTCGCAACTTGCTCCGCCTTCTTTCTTTTCTTCCCATAAGCCTCAACTTTGAAGCTTCAAGCTGGGACCACTCGTAGTGGTTTGTTTACTGTTCTTCTACTGGTCTCGACTGCGCGGCACCAACGACCGCGGTGTGATGATAACAATACGCAAAAAAATAGCCGAGTGATCCAGCCACCATCTTTTTTGCCAAACTCTCTGTTCAGACCAACGCCGGCATATGAACAATAGATGACGAGAAATTAGACACAAAGGAAGTGGAGTAATATACATCCATATCGGTGCCGGCGTCCGCAATGGACTCGTTGATGTATCATGACCGGGAGGCCCAGGCGTGTGATCGTACATATACGACAAAGAGGTGGCAATCATCTTGGATGACTAGCGCCGCCGGGCGGGGCCGTGATGAGCTTAGAGAAGCCGGAAAGACCGCGGGTATCGATTAGAGTTGGCATGTTTCATGCATGCCGTGGGGTGGGGGTTGAAGATGATCTGGGGCCACCTGGTGGCCCAATATTGCTGGCTCTGCCTTATAGTATCAGCTGCTTGAGGTTGCGCTGTATAATCATGTCCTGGACCGAGCCCATGGTGATCTTGAGCAAGTTCGTATCGGTGGCATTTGTGAAATGACCGTAGATCTCCTTCTCGGTGTTTCGGTTGAGGGCGCGGAACTTGTCCAGGAAGTACTTGCTGGCAGACTTCCAGTCTTCGGCGGGGCCGTGGTAATCCGTGAAACCGTGCGATGTGATTGGGTTGTTGGGGAGCTTTTCCTTGAAGAGATCCATCTTGTTCAGAAACAGGATAAGGGCGGACTTTGTGAACCAGTGCGAGTTGGCAATCGACTCCCAGAGCATGAGCGCTTCGTTCATTTGGTTCTGTTGGGTTCGTCAGCTTAACAGAAAACGAGAAAAACAGACTCGGTCACACATACGCCGTCCTTATCCTCAACCAAACATTGATCGTATCCGCTAATGGCGACAAGGAAGAGCAAGCAATTAACATTTTCGAAGCAGTGTATCCACTTCTTCCGTTCTGAACGTTGGCCACCGACGTCGAACATACGGTATGTCAGCTGACCCAGGTCGAAAACCGTTTCGGTGATTCCCGTGGTTCGCAGTCTTGATCGCAACAAATCTTGGTCTGTGGGTTCGTAGCTCGCATCCCAAATCCGGTCCAAATCGTCACAGAAGCTATCTCGGTCAGCCATAGGCTCTGCAGAGGCAGGTGGTGCGCCACTATGCTTACTATGCCAGGTTGTCGTGGAGGGCGAACTCATTGCCTTTTGCTATGGCCTGCTTGACACCACTGTCGACCCAGAGTTCTTTGACAGGTTGCAGGTAGTCGCGCGGGAGAGGGTCTTGGGCGTTGATCTCGTGTTCCACCAAGATATGCGCCATGTGCTTCTGTAAGAGACACCATGTGTTAGCCGGGCCATTCTATTGATTGCACGCCTGAAAAGTGACAGAATGTCTCGAGGTTGTCGCACGCGATTGGCGTCGACAGGAGCTTTTTCGGGGGTCGCTTGCCTCATTTTCGGGGTTGCTGAATTCGATTCCCATTTCGGTCATGGCATCTTGGATCAAACGGAATGATTGGACAATGTTGTTGAATACGACCGGCTTCCATTCGAGCTTTTCGTTCTTGCTGAAACCTTGTGCGTAGATCAACTTCATCTGCTTCAGGACAGTGGATTTTCCAGATTCTCCAGCACCTATTCAAGTGAGAACAAAGTCAGCGCAAGAACAGATAGATGCATTGCGCTAGTTAGCGATCGCGTCAACATACCCAGCAACAACAGCTTAACTTCTTTCGATAGGCGCTTCTCATCTTGTCGGATCATGCGGTCGAGGTCGCGCGAACGAGCACCACCGCCGTCATCTTTGGTTCGAGCCCCGAAGCACATATTGGCGTAGGAACGTTTATCGCCGAATAAATTGGATGGACGAGGAGCCGGTGCGGTGACGCTGAACAAGTGTTGGGGGAAAAAAGAAAAGAAAGTAACGCGTTCAGTCGGTAAGAAAAAGCGTGGGCAGAAACCGAGAAACAATCAACGAGGCGGACCGGTGGAGATGGTAACGGTCTAAGACGAAAGCGAGGTGGAAGAAGAAATGCGAGCAGCTAGTTCCGGGGAGGAGGGTTCTTGGGGGATTCGCGTCGAGGTCCAGGTGGGATTGGAACGGTCTCGCAATGGTCCGAGGGCGTTGAAGGTCGGCAAGATCAGATGATGAGATGAAGAGGAGAGCGATGGGAGGTTGACCGGGCCGGGATGGAAGAAAAAGAGTCGATTCGGATCTCAATCTCAGCGTGACGCAGGTGAAGCGCAAGGCGCAAGGCGGGGAGGAAGGGGGGAAGGAGAGATTGGAAAGTCGAGTCGAGTCGAGACAACAGGGCGATGGAGCGATGGCGAAGACGGATGGCGTGGGTAGAAGAATCGAGATGCAATGCCTGCCCGTAGGTGCGAGGTAGGGTGCGGTGCGGTGCGGTGCTCTGCGGCGTGCCTGTCTCTGGCTGTGCACCTTTTGGAGGTCCAGGTTTGAGGAATGGGACGGGCTGGAGTGGGTGGAGGAAGCTTTTGTCGGTTTTGTTCTTGTTCCCGCTGGCAAGTTAGAGAAAAACAAAAACCGCTAAAACTCTTGGGGGCGTTCGTAGCGGACGCCCGGTTGGCTGCGGGTTGTTAATGTTAATCCTCCTGCTCAGGTGTTTTTGCTGCCCAGCGAGGCTAATGGCGGGTCAGGGGAGAGAACTAACGGGCTAGCGCAGGAATTGGAGAAAGGAACGAGGGCGACGATGATGTGAGAAGCAGACAGGAAGCTGAGGCCAGACGAGACGAGACGTGACACACAGAGGCTGGCTGTTATGTTGGTGATTTGATGGGGGTAGCTAAGTGCTGGGAAAAGGATTGGAGAGGACGGCGGACGCACACGGAACGGGAAAGGAAGATTGGAAGGAAAAGAAGGCGGAGAGGTGGAAGAGAGTGAGAGAGGAAGTCAAAGTAGAGGAAGCAGACGGGACGTTCAGCAGAAGAAGAAGAACAAGTCAAGCTGCTGTATCCGTATGGGATACTCCGTACTTGGTACCAAAACGCACGCACAAAGAGTAAACTATGAAGCACCACCCTTTTCATTACTGCTCCTGCTCAGTCACCTCACCACTCACCAGGCTCACCTCACCTCATCCATCTGGAAGGCTCCGTGCTCTGTGCTCCATGCTCCTCACCTCATGGTATCCGTAAGATACGGAGTACATTATGTGCTTATTACCTGATTCAATTTCATTAGCTGTCAACACTTGGTACCCTCCGTGCCTCCCTCGTCCTTGCCTCCGTCGATGGTTTCCGTTGACAAGGTACCATCGTGCCCCGTTCCATCACTTGCCGTAGCCAAGGTATGTACGGATACAGTAGGTATGAACCGAGGACGGCTAGATAGGCAAAGTACCTTAAGGTGGTAAGGCATGGTAAAGGTACCTCGCTTCGTACATTGGTTAGACGGGAAAGAGAGTCACGCAAGTGCTAGTCCCGGGTATGGGTAGGTATGCTTGTCCTTTTGCTTGACTCCTGGCAATGACATGAGCAAGCAAACAGAACAGGGTTGATGTGACTTTGCTGTGTCTTTGGAAGCATGGATTATCTAGTCTAGATGGAATGATCATTCTCTGTACCCGTGTTCCTCCTCCGTACACAGTAGACTCTGAAATGCTGCGCACCAAAGGTAAATAGCCGCACAACAAACGCTCACCACCACGATGTCGATCACGACCCTGACTCTAGGAACTGCCAGTCCGACCACCTTCGATGCTACCTCGCTGTATCCGTATGACCCAATCCATTCTAACCAACAAACCTTTGCTCGAACTAGAGCTGCAGCATAGCTTATCCGTTGGAAAGACAAAAAAAAAGAAAAAGAAATCCAACATGAACAGGAGAGCGGGAGGAACATGCGGAACTTTTGGGCCGGGGTGGTAGCAGTACCTGCCTCAACTTGCATGTCCCGAGTACGTACCTTGCTCTAGACTCTCACCTAAGGCAAGAGCAGGACGGCATGCAAGTGGGGCTGTACCCTGACGTACCTGGCTTGTATCTTCAGTCTGATTCGTCCTATCATCCCGGCCCGCTCTTGCCGCAGGATTGCATCTCGCGAGACTTGGCAGTTACTTGTGCCGGGGTACTCTCAAGTCTGTCCGCGCCTCCCTTGCACTTGCATTAGAAAGCAAGCCACCTCCAGTTCCCCGTCGTACCGTCCACTATCCAGTCGTCTTAGTACACAGGCACGAAGGCACGTCAATCCTAGTCTCCTCTGTGCAAAGCTACGAATGCCGCCTTCAGGCTTCATCACCTCTGATACCACTGAGACCTCGTTCTCTTTGGTCAGATATTCGTTCCGCCATCATCTCAGACATTTCATCCGTCGCTCAACCAATCCACTGGTTCGTTGAAACCACTCTTTCCTCTCGAAGCTGGGCAGTTCTTCGGGACCCAGCCGAGCGAACCACCTTACGAATGCCCTCTCTCTGACCCTCATGGAGGATCAACTTCGCCGCATATCCCGGTGCTTCGCACGCGACCCTCACAACCCTCTCGACACCCACCCATGTCGTGCTCCTCAAGGCACCGCGAATGCATCTACGCAGTACATATCGAGTACCTACCTCTCAGCAACCACAACCTAAGCTTTCTGGCTGAGCTCCCTAGGTGCTAGCAGCCACTCGAATAATGTCCAGCTGCCGGTCTGGACTGGACGTGCTTTCGAAGAAAACCTTTGTCATGGTTCGACGCACACCCTTTCGCATGCACAATGTTAGGCCCGAGTGTCCCAGAAATGCAGGTTGCGAGCTGCAAACTGCCACGCCTCATGACTTCATGCACAAGGAGATAGCCAACGGTCGCAGCAAACAAGCTGAAAGCCAATAAACTCTTGCAGAGACAGGATACAATAGCACATGGCTGCGTCGATTCAAACAACTTCCAACCTCGAACCGTCTGGTATGCCGCCAAAACACCAATCCAATCCACGTCGCCTGTCTCATCCTGCCCTCACCTACGGATACCTACACCACCTTCAAAGACTCATTCGATATGCTTCAAACTCAAAAGATTAACGGGCTCCGCCCTCGATCAACATAGGACTGCGACAGATCCGCGGCCGTCCCGTTCACACCATGGACCAATCATTGGTTCAGCTGTTGTTGGCTCTGCTGTCAACTAACATCTGGGCAGTGCATCAATCAAGGGCTCCAGTCGAGCCTTCAATTTGGCTGAGTCTCCGTTCTCAGTATGGAGCATCATCGTGGCATTCCACACAACAGACGGAAAGACGGAGCCACTTCGATCCTCCAGGCCCCTGCGTGATACCAGATCGCTGCCACAGCACCCCAATCGGGCCCCTACTCCGGAAACGCCTCGTGCACCGAGCTCTTCTTCTGCCTGCTTCTCGTGCGCGAATCCGCCGTCGCATCCGCAGCCGTAGCCAGCTCGCGCCTCGCCCTTCAGCAGGTCATCGCTACATGTTGCTTGCGGAAACACGTCCCACTCGACGACGCCTCTTTCGTTGCTTCCATACCTAGTGGCTCGCCACGCAGCCACCAAGTATCGGACTTTTCTTCATTTGCCATACGACGACAATTCTATCCGAAAAGAGCTTTGGCCAATGCTTCCGCTTTCGATGTCAGTGTTTTCTCTGCAGTCAAGTCTTCTTGCAATGCATGGCACAACCATGATGCTAGCCTTTCGTTTCGAATGGCGGGGGTCCTGGCCGAACGCGTCCGCTCTCGGGGGAAAGCATGTCACCCCCTGATTCATGCAAATGCAACGCCGCCAGTAGAGCACGACTCTGGCAGTCTGTCGTGTTGCCTCAGAGTCGCATTCTGCTAGACTTTTCCCCAACAATAATTCAGATCAGCATTGCAGGCTCCAGTGGGAAAATGAGCGCTGATTTTGCGGGCCGCTAAAGGGGCCCTGCAGCATCGAGGGAAGACTCCCGCAGAAACGAATGCTTCAGTGAGCTAGGATCCTTTTTCATGATCCCGGCCCTCCTGGCGTGGCTCTTGCAAGGATGAGAGGAGCAGCTCGTTTTGTTCGACAGGGTGGCCGTTTGTGGATGGATTGCACAACTCGTGGCTTTTCTGACGGGGATCCTTGAGCGTCGATGAGCCAGATCAACGCACGTTTCCTGAGCCGCACCTGCTTTGCCCAAAACGTTCAACATGTAGCTGGCGCGGCGCGAGCATCGACCTTACTGATATCTTGAACCAAACGGACGGGACGTCTTAGAATTTGCCTCTCGGGGACTTGACAGGAGCAAAAATGGACTCAGATGCACTGCAAGAAGACCGTTGTTCGCGCCAGAGCCGCAATCCAATGGGAGCCGCACCAAGATCGAGTACTTCGTCACCGAAATTTTATCGCAGTCTTCAAAGATTGCTTGGGCCCTAGGGCTGGGCTCTCTGCCTCGAGGAAGAAACGGTCAACGCTTTGCCAGAGCTAGCATAACTTGTCAAGCCCTTTGACAAAGATAGCAACCCGTATTACTCTTGAAGTCGCCCGAGGTGGTGCGGTCTCGACGTCTCGAGCAGCCCTGTTGACGAAAGAGCCTTTCACCACGTGGCGACGAAGTCCCTGCCGGATGCGGGCGGTCAGAATGAATATTACTGAACGGCCCAGTCCCCGCCAGACCACCCCAAGACGTCTATTATATCACGATGTAGAGGGCAACAAAGGCGATGGTAAGGCAAAGCAGTCGAGTGAGCAGATGGCATGTGGGATGGTGGAACTAATTTTCAGATCCGTCTAATGGCAAGCCGCGATCCGAAGGAGTGGTATGATGGACGACAGAAAACCGCCAGATGGGTTAGTCGCACAGGACCAGGGCCCCAGATGGAAGCAACAGGTAGGTACAACAAGACTCCAAGTGAGGCAGAAGTGCCCGCAGATTGACCTCAAACACTTTGAGGTAAACTTTGGAATGGGAAGATCTGTCACGCGCTGCACCGCATGGACTAGTATCCTGCGCCAGGCGTTTTGTTTCCCCCAATTGGGTTCAAGGTTTCTGCACTGGCGTCTGGCATGGCATCACGTCAGCCATAATGGGACTCGATTGGATATTGCAAACACCGCTCTGGGTAGAGACGTTGCATGTTATGAAAGAGTTTTTTTTCCCCCCATGTCTGGTCTCGGGGCTGGCCCTGCCAAAGGCGATCATGGTTCATGCGGGATCAGAGCAACATTGATGAGTTCAGGACTGCGATGGTAGACGACGTTTGGGGGTGGAATTGCTGATCATCTCGTCAACAGTGCCTATCGCCCTTACACTCAATGCTGGTGGGTAGGGGAAGCTGAGGGAGCTGAGGCGATGGAGGCTGAACATTGTGTTACACTTAAGATGTCAGACCCTCTAGCTGGTATTTATTTTCCGGTAAGAAAGTTCTTTGATGATGGCGGCTACGACAGAAGAGATGAGACGACTTGGCCTGCAACACGTTGTATCACAGTCACAAAGTTTTCGGATGCTTCTTTCTGAGGATCCGTACCAAACGACATAATTACGACAAGAGACAAAAAGAGGCAGAGTCGCGATGCAGCTGGAGAAGGTGGGCAGTGGGTTTCTATGTCTTGCATAACCGAAGGCTACTAATTTTCGACCTCGGCACATAGTGCGAAGCCGTCGCTCGGTCGCGGCAACTGGTGCAAACCACGGCGGCTGGCAGCATGAAAATAACCATGGCATTGGTAAGAAACGGGAAAGGCGTACTTTGTATGGACTTAGGTAAGGATGGGCCCATGTCGGACCTCAATCTTTACATTGGCGAACGGTCCATGGCCGGGCTCGGCCAGTTCTCGTCCGGCACGCACAGGTTTTGTCTCAGGCGGCAGGTTCTTTGGGTTGTGTCTCGCTACCGCTAAAGAATCGAACCGCTAAGTGTGCGTGTTTATCTATTAGCTCGCCGAATTGACCCAGCCTGCTGCAGATAACGTCTGTGAGCGAGTTCCTCAGCCTCGACTATCAAAGTCCGAAGACTTCCTGCTTTACTTGACCTGGGTAAGGTCCATCGCAGTCTAATAAGCACGGCCCGTGGGGCAGGCTGATGTCTTAACTTCATAGGCTACGGATAGGTCCGGATACCTACACTGTCTACTTAACTAGGGAGTACGGATACCCAGTTGCGAAAGAATAGTTTCGTTTCATCTCGTCTCGTCTATCCGTAGGCGGGCTGTCAAAACCAAATAAGCTGTTACATCTGACGGATGGTGGAGAGATGATCTTTACTGTCTTGATCCGGCGACAACCGGGCGAGACATGGACGCCGCTGATTGCCGGTGAGCAAGTGGAGCAGGGAGGCGAGCTCTGTGGGGGGCTGTCGGGCTTGACATGCCGTTCAATATCGAGAAAAGCAGCAAGCAGCAAGCGAGAGACGCAGAGGAAGGGCGAAGAAGCCGAAAGGAAAAAAGGGGACAAAACCAAAGAGGTTTGGGCTATTGATCCTGGCTCGCCACGTTTTCTGCAAAGCAGGTCGCACGTCGTACGCCGCACATTCCTTTTCCATGCCTGCAGTACGTACGGATACAACAGCGGATAATTCCCTCACGGCTCGTTTGCTCTGGGCAGTGGCCCGCAAAGCCGATGACGAAGACCGGAATGAAGTTCTGGACAAATCCCAGAGCCCAGAGGACTCAGACTCCCGGCTCCAAACTCACAAGCATGAAATCCCGGACTGGCTCCGTGTCGTTGGCAGCACCGGCCACTGGGTGCTCCCTTCGCGATAAGCGTCGTTGTTGGTGTGCGACGGACCGGCTGGGCAGTAAGAGTTGGGCCGGCATATGGGGTTGATAGGCTACGTTCGTGAGACGACCCGTAGAGGAAGGGATAGACCGTCTGGGAATCTCTGGACAGTCGATCGTCCAGGTCGGATTGCTAATGGTTCAACCCCGAGCCATGGGAACATGCATTCATGGGCGCCCGAATGATGGATCGATCCATGACTCTGATAGGTATTACTATTGACCACGTTGAATACGACGGACGTGCTCGGCCTGACAGGGCAATTAATGGCAAGGTCACGAATGTATTGCGCTGGTATTAAGACACTGATGGGCAGAGTCAGGAACCTGACGGGCGCACTGACGTGAACCGGATCGAAGTGCGTCTGGCAATGGTGAGAGAGATTGAGGAAATCTCGATGCTCCATTCAAAGTGCCATCTGGTGGGTTTTAACCAATGAGCCAATAGGCCTCACCGTGAGTTGTCCGTGATAGGTACTTACCTTACTTTTTAGGTACGGAGTATACCGCAGCCAAGGTGGTGCACTGAAAAATTGGGCCCTGAATTTTCAAAACGAGGCCACCCCCGGAGCCACAAAAATTTTCTTGCTGCTTTTTTTTTTTTCTTTCGCTCGCCTTGCCCGCACCGGCGCTTGTTGACGGCGGGGGAGCGCGCCTTGGTTTGCTGGTAATCAAAGATTCTCTCTGCAGACCCAGCACACACCGCACATCGGCAGGCCAACCACACAACACCTCATCTCTCCCCCACGACGTCAACGCACATTTTGATATCAGACAATCTCAACTTTTCCATCCTGGCTTCTCTTCGTCATATAACACCCCTCCCTTCTCAACTACTGCGCCTGCACCAGCATCATCTGTCTCGATTGCTTGTGCCTCTGCCGACCTGTCGATATCTACACAACCTACACAGTAGCCCTGCCAAACCCCCGTCTACCGTCAAAATGAGCGAAATTGCCCATCCTACCATCCAAGGTTCGTGCGGTCCACCCCCCGTCTTTCCATCCATCCATCCATCCCTCCCTCCCCTTCCTCACTCAAACAGATCTCTGTCTGTTGTTGTTTGTCTGTCTGTCTGTCTGTCTGTCTGTCTTTCTGTCTTTCTGTATACGGCTGCCCGGAATCCCTCTGCTACCGTTGGCATTGGGTATATGCTATTCACTACTCCATCCTGCTGGTCGATGCTCGTTCCTGGCTCTTCCAGCTTCTGTACGCACCCGTCTCAGAATACCCCGCCATACAAAAATGTCTTGAGCACCCCGCCTGTCGTCACCTTGGGCCCTGGGGGACCTTGGGGGGTTCGTTCGCTAAGAACCCGTCCAACGGAAGACGGAGAATATCACAACCGGGAGCGGGCCTATGAACAGCCTTGTCTCGTTCGTCTGTACCGCCCTCCATTGGCCCATTGGCAGACGGACTTTGTGCCGTGCGGACTGCCTGCACCTGGTCAATCGCCAACGAAACCTCCCGCAACTATTGACGGGTGGCTTATCCGTCCTCTTCCGGGTCCCCCAAAACACCTTCAGCCCTTGGCTCCTCCACCGTCTGAGCGCGCATGCACTATTCTTCATGCCACTTTCGGTTAAGCAATTCGTCAGGAAAAACCGAGAGACCTCGTCTCTTGGTTTTGCAGATCGTCTGTCAAATACGGTATACCTCTCTTGCTGAGGTGACATTTATACATTGCAAATATGCCGGCTTATGGCTGCTCCGGGCACGGCACTTTTCGAGATCGGCAATGACACAGGACACACAGACAGACTGACAATAGTGGATGCGACAAGATGATGTCCTTTTTTGGAAACAAATGAGATGAGCGAGTCGAGACCGCGCGCTAACCTGATGGAATGATGTATAGATGGCTGGTTCCGTGAGATCTCCAACATGTGGCCCGGTAAGTGACCCACCCCTTCAACTCAAGCATCGTGAGAATGAAAGGACACCGGGCATGCTGACAACCTGCAACAGGCCAGGCCATGACCCTCAAGGTCAAGAAGGTCATTCACCACGAGAAGTCTCAGTACCAGGATGTCCTCATCTTCGAGTCCACCGACTACGGCATGGTCCTGGTCCTGGACAACGTCATCCAGGCCACCGAGCGTGATGAGTTCTCCTACCAGGAGATGATTACCCACCTGGCCATGAACTCCCACCCCAACCCCAAGAAGGTCCTCGTCATCGGCGGTGGCGATGGCGGCGTCCTCCGCGAGGTCGTCAAGCACGAGTGCGTCGAGGAGGCAATCCTCTGCGACATTGATGAGGCCGTCATCCGTCTCTCCAAGCAGTACCTCCCCAACATGGCCGTCGGCTTCGACCACCCCAAGTCCAAGACCCACGTCGGCGACGGCTTCAAGTTCCTCGAGGAGTACAAGAACACCTTTGATGTTATTATTACCGACTCCTCCGACCCCGAGGGCCCCGCCGAGTCCCTCTTCCAGAAGCCCTACTTCCAGCTCCTCCACGACGCCCTGAGGGAGGGCGGTGTCATCACTACCCAAGGTTGTACGTTCCCATTTGTTCAGGAATATCGAGGGGAATCAAGGAAGTCTCGGGTCTCTAAAGAAGAGAAAGGACAACGTCGCAGGCACCATCACCTAGGAGTGGTGCCCGCTTCTTTTCTTTCTTTGGACCTGTCCTCGATTCTCCCTACGAGATACCGGTATATTGCCCAGTGGCATGCCGGTGAGACTGGGTTGTGTGAACCTGGATACGCTTTGAACTCTCCTTTGTCTATTACTTTGAAGCGTTGCGCATACTCGAGACTATTGTGTTTCTTCCTCCCACCCCCCCCCCCTTTTCTGCTAGCGCTCATTCAGCCTGGCTCTCTGTCAGAAGGCTTCCGCTCTTGATTCTTAAAAACTGTAAAATCTAGAGACCAGGACTAGCTAACAGTATACCAAACAGCCGAGAACCAGTGGCTCCACATGCCCCTCATCTCCAAGCTCAAGAAGGACTGCAAGGAGATCTTCCCCGTCGCCGAGTACGCCTATACCACCATCCCCACCTACCCCAGCGGCCAGATCGGCTTCATGGTCTGCACCAAGGACGCCGGCCGCAACGTCAAGGAGCCCCTCCGCAAGTGGTCCGCCGAGGAGGAGGAGAAGCTGTGCAAGTACTACAACGCCGACATCCACAAGGCCGCGTTCGTCCTGCCCAACTTTGCCAAGAAGGCTCTGGAGTAAATGCTGTGTGCGTGTGAGGATGAAGCAAAGACACCACGTTTTTCATGAAGAAAATGGATTCATGAAGTCATGGGGGCGCCGGGGGGGGGGGGGGGGGGGCTTGGGATGGAGGGAAATTTGGCAGGATTTTCAATAGATGGGAACCAAAAAAAAGTTTTAGTCGTAAGACGCAGAGGTTGACTCTAGCGTTGCTCAATATATTTTGTTTGAGTCAAGTATGTTCTTTCCTGTGGTGATGCCACAAGTGATTCTATGTTGAGATAACTCCGTGTGCCTCCATCGGGTGCCTGTTGTCGCCAACTCCGTGTAAATCTTTTTTGCTCCTTTTCTCATCCAATGCCATGAGTCACCCCCGCATCTTCTCTTCCTCTCTCTCTCTCATCCGTAGACGATTTCCGTTACTCTCTCTTTTGATCCCATGAGACTCCCGCCCAACTCATCACGTTCCTTCTTTCCACCCTCTCACCGCCCTCTTCATCACATATCCTCGTCTCCATCCCATCTCCCATCTCCCATCGTCATCCTCATCTTCACCTCCCACTTCATCCTATCTCCATCCTCATCCCCCTACCTTACCAATCACAACCCCCCGCAAGCAACAGCGCCAACCTCTCCAACCAGACCCGATCAACCTCGTCAAACCCATCTCGCTCCGCACAATCCACGTCAATAATCGCTACGAGCTTGTCCTTGACGACAATCGGCACGACTACTTCGCTCTTGCTATCCCCATCACACGCAATGTGCCCCGGGAACGCGTCAACGTCGGCCACGAGCTGGGTTTGTTTCGTGGCGGCGGCGGCGCCGCAGACGCCGCGGCCAAAGGGGATTTGTTGGCAGGCGACTTTACCCATGAAGGGGCCTAGGATGAGGGATTGTTTGGTGGATGAGGGGTCGAGGACGTAGAAACCTGCCCAGTTTACTGCGTTTGAGGGGGCGGGGAGGGAGTGGTAGGCGTGCCAGAGGAGGGAGGCTGTGTTTGCGAGGTTGCTGTCGATATGCGAACGTGAGTTAGTCTCCTGTCTCTTTTTCTCTCAAGGGTTTGGCCATGTTGTTGTCTCCAAAGTGAGGATGACTATAGGAATATTGCTTAGATTGGGAAATCTTCTTTTACTTACGCGACCTATATGAGTGTTAGTATGTGAAGGTTAAGACGAGAGAGTGTGTGTTAGAGAGAGGGAGAGCGGAAGAGAGGTATAGGATGAGAAGGAATACAGAACGAAAGACGTACCCAGTTCCTTTGGCCGTCGAGGAGGCCTTCGGCTTGCATGAGGACCTGCTCGTAGGCCTCCTCCTTCGTCACGCCATTGGCGAAGTTTGAGGCGTCGGCGTGGACCTGTCGTATTCACACTCATCAGTATACACCGACAGAGTAAAGCTAGGGCTTAGCAGATTTTGGTAGCGGGCTCTAGGGATATGAGATGTGCTCACCATTGTTGCCGGAAGATCTACAGTATTGAACAAAAAAATGAGATTGTGGAGGTAAGCCAGGCTCGGAGCTATCTTCTCTGGGTAAAGCAGGCACAGTAGGTAGGTAGTCGAGACTAGGTTGGTGAGTCAATATGACCAAGCATAGATGGGTCGTTGAGTTGAGACGGGAAATTGTGTGTTGAAATCCTCTGGTCCAATCACGTCATTTCTTTCTCGGTGAGCTACACCTCCACACCTCGGTGAGTCCAATTTCCTCTCCCTTCGGACCCGAGTTTTTTTTGGTCAGCAACCCAAGAAAAAAAAAAGTGTTCCATTCCCGCCGCCCCCGGCCCTAAAGGTCTCTTGATGGAGAAGACGGAGGAATCGGGGGGGGGGGGGGCCATCGGCCGGCTTCGAGTGGAGAAAGTCTGCCTTTCGCACTTGACGGGTCCGAGATGTTTTTTTTTTATGTCCGATCCCGTTTTCTTGCTCTCCAATTGCTAATTTTATCCTGTTCACAAACCGAGTGTGCCGACTCTTACGATACCTGGCTAAGAGAGTGGGAGGGTAACACAGCATCACGCTAAGATACTCGTGTATGGCGAGCAAGCTACGTGGTTGGCGCAGGCCAGCTACGCGGGCTGGCGGCGGGATATCTAGGTACAGATCGATCGACATGCATGCGCGAGAGAAACGTGATGTTAAAGCGAGCCGAGGAAGACCACCCCAATTGACAATTGTGATTTGTTCTCGGAGTACGAACGTCCCCTACAAGCCTAGTAGACTGTAGTACCCAAGCTTGCTGAGGTAGGAATCTAGGTCGGAGGTCGGATTCGGATGAAACTCCGTCCATGACTTCATTCTCCGCTAACCCCGCGTGCCGGTTGGTGCGACAGCTCCTTTTTACAAGGTCAGTTTAGCTGAGCTGAGGTTAGCTCTGCAGGAGCTTGAGGTGTTTTAGGACCTGAGGTAGTCTCCATAGAGTATAGAGATAACGTCTTTCCCGCCTGGGTCTCTACTCTTCCTTTCACTGTGTCAAACATTGCAGGCATCTTTGTTTTCGTACATTTGGTTAACTTGCAATTGACCATCTAGTCTATACCAGAAGCTGTTGTTGCATCAAGGGAGAGCTCAAATCTACCCAACGCTTAGCTCACCTCGTCTATAAGGCAACTCTCCCCCGAATAACCACAACTTCATCTTTTCACTCTCCACCGATTGAGCAACACATCTCACTTACTACATGGACACAATGTCGTCGGAACAGCAACAACACCAGGCCCCCCGCTTCTGCGCCGACTGCTTCAAGGGCACGCTCCGCGGCGACACCGAGCTCAAGGGCACCGTGGAGACCGTCTACGGCCTGCCGACGTACGTCGCGCGCCCTGGGCCGGGCCGCGGCGAGCCCGCGGGCGTCGTCGTCATCTTGCCGGACGCGATGGGGTGGGAGCTGCAGAATACGCGCGCGCTGGCGGATGCGTATGCGAATAGGATCCCGGCGGTGGTGCTGCTTCCTGAATTGATGAATGGTGAGTTTTTGGGAATGGTCATCTTTCGTTGGATTTGCTTCGCGGGGTTTGCCTTGGCTTCTACGTTGTAATCACTCGTCCTTGACATGACTGTCTTGGTGATCGATGTGATGTCTTGGGGGAGCAGGCAGAGAAGGAAGTGGGTGAGACATCATGATGCTCAGACCGCGATGTCGTGAATTCTCATGAGGCCCTCTATATTACGAACCCACTGACACCATGTGTAACAAAAAAGGCTACGCCATCCCAGCGACCGCGCTCGCCATGACTGACAAAATGGAGGCCGAAAAGTCGTGGTGGAGAAAATACCTCCTCATCGCGCCCGTCATGGTCGCGACGATGCTGCGCTACTTCATCCCCCTCGTCATCGCCACCCGCTCCAGCGTCGTCGTCCCGCGCATAGAGAATTACCTCCGCGCCGTCCGCCTCTCGCCACCGTCGCCGCTCCCTCCCCGTCCATCGACCTCGACCTCATCCTCCGCCGGTGAGGCATCCGCTAAGAAAGACACCAAGATCGGCGTCGCGGGCTTCTGCTGGGGCGGAAAATTCACCGTCCTACTCTCCCAGCTCGCCGCGGGACCGTTCGGCGGCGAGAGGCTCATCGACTGCGGCTTCACGGCGCACCCGAGCTTCCTCACGTTGCCGGGCGATCTGGAGAAGGTGGTGCTGCCGCTGAGCGTGGCGAACGGGGACGACGATATGATGATGCCCCGGGCGCGGATGGTGGAGGCAAAGAGCGTGCTGGGGAAGAAGGGGGAGGACTTTGAGATTGTGGAGTATGTCGGTGCCACGCACGGGTTCGCTGTGAGGGGGAACCCGAATGATCAACGGCAGGCGGAGTTCGGGATGAGGGCGGAGGATCAGGCTGTTGGGTGGTTTCGGCGGTGGTTTGGGCTCGGTGCTTGAGTGAATGGGTGAGGGATGGGATGGGATGGGATGAATTGGGACCAGGAATGGTTGATCGAGATTGGTTTGACGCGGATCACCTTTCCATCACACTTCGAAAGTGACTGCAAGTCTTCTGTCTTTCACCTTATGTACGCGCGGGCTGAAAGCGAGTATAGTAGTTTTCGGTAATGATAGGACTGGGGTCGAATTCAGGCTTGCTAATGTTGCGAGGCTCACAACCTCCCCTTGATACTCTTTACCTGTGAGTACCAAGACCGTTGGCGGGCACGGCAAGTTCAAGTTACCTCTAGCTAGATGATAACTCAACAAAAGACACTTGAACAAAATTCAAGCCAAGCGACCACTGAGTCCACAATATCCAACTCAAAAACATGCATACGCCAAATTGACATCACTTAGGCAAACCTTGGACATCGCCAACAGTCAAAAAGGCAAAAGATAATGGTTCTCCCCTTCCAGAATCGAACTAGAGACCTTTCGATGACAACAGATGAACAATTACAGTCGAACGTGATGAACCAACTACACCAAGGGGAGTGACCAAGGCTGAGCCTTGCTCGGTGTGTCAGCTCAGTGCGAAAAAATGCCTCAAGAAGTGTTTGCATTGACCCACAGATTGATCCGCAATTCTGGGGTTTTGTTGTCGGCTCTCTGCAGACAGACCACTTTAGGTCATCGACCTAACCGGGCACGTACGGGCATGTCTGCGCAAAAGCAGCATGATTGTCATAAAGAGGGTTTTGTGACTTTTCATATGCGACAACCCAGAGTAACCATTTTGGTCGTTTCTATCAATGTCTGTTTTCAGGCTTGACAGCTCAGTGACATGGCCCACTCGCAGCACTAGGGACTCTTCGATTGGCCTGGCTTTGTAGAAACCGCTCTATATGCGACAAAAGTCGAGCAATCAGCGAAGCCAGAAACACAAAACATATACGCCGAAATTCTAGTATGAGTTGTCTGATGGTGGGCCGATATTGTTAGTTCCCTCGAATAAAGCATGTCCTTGGGTAAGGCTGCGAGCAGTCTGGTTCGAGATAGACAAGCAGGTACCAATATCGGAAAGAAGCTTTTGGTTGCAGCATGTGGAAATGTTCAAAGACCATACTCAAGGAGATAAATGATCGCCCCAACAGTCCAGCTCGATTGTCCAATAGCCAGAACTGAATAGTCACGCCAAGGGGAAACGGCAAAGCTTGATTCGGCGAGAGCGGCCGCTCCCCGGACCCGACGCGGTGGGTGGAGTTGCGGGTGGGGCCGAGGCAAGGGTTAAGCACGCCGATAAGCGATAAGCTTGTAGGTGTAATGAGTGACGAAACCAATTGCCCATTTTTCTTTAATTAAAATCGATATTTTGACCATGCCCTTTGGCGTCCCGCGCGACCCGGTCCGAACCCCCCCCTTCACGAACCTCAAACCCGCAAACTTCAACCCTGAAGTTTCCCTACTAACCGCAACTCTTCTCACACGTCTCATGCAATGAGCCACGGCACGACGCTGCGCGCCATGCGCGCTCCGTCCTCCCTCCTCTGCAGCAGCAGCAGCTCCGTCCACACATCCTTCCTCCTCACCTCGATCGCGCGACAAGCGACCCCCTACCGCCGGCTAGCGAGCTCCCTCACGCCCTCCGAACCCTCCTACTCCTCCACCGCGAACAGGGACAAGGTCAACGCCATCGCCTCCTCCCGCCCAGCGGCCCTCGACCTCCCCGAGAAGAAACCCGACGCCTCAAAGTTTGGCCACCTCATCCAGACGGGCAAAGCCTACATCAAGTTCTACAAGACGGGCCTGAAAGCCGTCTTCTCCAACCGCCGCCACATCCAAGACGTCATCCGCGCAAAGAGCACCTCGGTCGAAGGCTTCCGCTCCCCTTCCGTCTTCACGCCGGGCGTCATCCCCAAGGGTTTCTCGCGCGCCGACTGGGTGCTCCTCTGGCGCGTGCGCCACGACGTCCTCCGCGTGCCCCTGTTCGGCCTCGTCCTCTTGGTGTGCGGGGAATTCACCCCCCTCATCGTCATCTTCGTCGACGGCGTCGTGCCGTACACGTGCCGCCTGCCGCGGCAGATCGACGCCAGCTTCTCGCAGGCGGAGGAGCGCCGGCACAAGTCGTTTGCCGATTTTGAGCGGGCTGCGCCGCTGGGCGTCGTGGGCACGCAGGGGACGGCTGCGAGGGCGCCGGCGAGGAAACATGTGCTGCGCAGTCTGCATATGCCGGGCATGATGTGGGATAAGATTGGGTTTATCCCGCCGGGTATGTGGGCGACCAAGGGCAAGCTGCGGATGGCTTTCCTGGAAGGAGATGATAGGTTGCTGGCTCGCGACGGGGGCGCGGCCGCGTTGGAGGAGCAGGAGGTGAAGATTGCGGCTACGGAGCGCGGTATCGACTGCGCTGGTCGCAGGGACGAGGAGCTGAGGCAGCTGCTCAATGAGTGGCTGCACTTGACGGAGGCCGAGGAGAGTGCGGAAAGGAGAAAGCGCATGACGGTTCTCTTGACGACAAGGTATGGAACTTTTGCTCTCTGACAATGCTCAAAGGTACAGTTGCTAACTTTTTCACTTCTATAGGACGGAGAACTGGCCCAAGGACCGAGACTTTGCTCTCCCCGAGTGGCATCTTTGAGTCAAACCACACATAGCGGACTTGTATAGCACCTCCTCTGGTGGACAGAAGCAATGTCGCCGATATTCCTTTGTCAAAGGTTGCGTTGTGGCAAGCGCCGGATTGTATACTACTACTGTATTTTACTGCGGCATAAGTAGAAGGGCGGGCACTCAAAAGCATATGACGGGGCTCAAGGGTTACAAAAAGAAGGGAGGCGGTAGATTCGCGGATAGACAAACCACTCTGTTCCAGACAGCAAGTAACAAATGTCAACAATTTCTCCTTAGACAACATTCTTGCGGGCTTTAGTCTCGGCTTGTTCACCATATAAACTTATTCTTGCAGCGGCTCTGGACAAGGGGATACGCGGCCAGCCGGAAATGCATATGCCCGGCTCGCTAGCCCAAGTGCAAGGAAACCTGGATTCGCCTCGATGATCTCTAGTATATAGCTTTTGTGCAATAGGCCTCGATCTCATCCTATGTCTACTCTCCCGGCACTGCCGCCGCTCATAACAACCACTGCGAAGTCTCTAATAAAGCCGACAACGATTCCAACTCAAAGCTCAGCGATTCGAACAACGACACGCCCTCAATACCCAGCGTCCAGGCGCGCAACCCACTTGGACAGTGTATGCCCAGAAGTTTATGGTAGCCCTCTTCCCGTACTGCCTTCAATGGGCTTCCTCAGATGGTCGCTCATTCCACAAATTGGACCAGACCTGGCTGAGGATGCATTTACCCCCGTCCCTTTCTAGACAAGTGCGTCTCAGAGTGTCGTCTATTGCTGCTGAGTCAAATTAAAACAAACGACTTCTCGATGTCATCATGGCGTCTTCTTATACTGGTTGGGGGTAGTATGGTATTCATCACGGAATCGTTAGGCTGCAGTGCCAAGCGGTCAAGAGAAGCGTCCTTTGATGAGGCCTAGCCTAGAATGTATGGGTGAACATCAACGCGATGGAAGCAGAGGCTACACTCGGGATAATGAATTCATGTTGACGATGCGCGCAATTGAAATCAGCCGCAACTATGTCGGGCCTGGCTACAAACATGCCCTGAACTTGAAGCCAGTGGAACTATATATAGCTCTGAAGGATTTACAACGATGTGGCGCCTGGTGACGTCAACTGTGAAATGTATCTCTGCGAGCCTCAAGACAATGGCCAGGTTTGCGAGAAGAGCAAAACATAATACTGGCACACGAGTAAGGGACGAAGAAGGTGAATAGCTGGATGTATTGCCATAAGTCAACCATTGAAGGACAAGATCGCCAAGGTCTATCTGTTTAACAAGTCGCGTTCGACATGGAGAGGCAAAGTCCAGCGTTTATAGAAAGGTTGTTGACCAGCTTTGACTCTTGAAGTTGAAAATTAACAATCTCCCATAAATCCCATTAAAGATTATATTGTGTTGATAAATCAAGATGACTCAAGTATAGCTACGCAAATTTGATGTCACTGGGAGGATTGGCTCCCTACAACTCTCTCGTGGACGATAGTCCGAGGTTGCCATCGAAGGATGTCAGAAGCCCTCTAACCCCAGAGCAAATACGTGATTACCTCCTCATTTCCGGCCCAGGAACTATCCCAACCGACACCGCGGGACTATAATTGCCCGAGAATCTGCGATGCGGATACGTTAGACATGAGTAGATAGGATGGACGGTGACCTCGCAGGAGCCCTCTGCAGGGGTGTGAGGCATATTCAACTTTGATCCAAAGTGGAAGGTAATTTTGCTCTTTCATGGGCTGCTTCCATGTCCCAAGATTAGTCCAAAAGCTGTAGAATGGTGCTCTAGCGATAGATGACTTAAGATACGGTCAGTAGCAGAGTGACATCCAGAAGCCATGATCACAACCCGGGCAACTGTCACAAGTCAGCGCAGACGAGCAAGCAAATCCAATTGGACCAAAGCATGCACCAAATTCAATATTGTAACCCCATGGGAAGTTTCCTCATGTGGTTCAAGTATTCTCCAAGCTATCAGTTGTTTCCTGCACGATTTGACAAACACATCTAATCCGCCAAGAGCTCAGAAGGAGTCAAAAAAGCTCTCAACTAAGCTTTCCCCTTATCCCCATAATCATTTCTTAAAATAGAAATCTTGCATTTTTGTCGGACTAGGTAGGTAATCAAGAATCATCACCGCCTTTCTCTCTTTCTCTCTCTCCAATTCTCTGTTTCCCACAGCTTCTAGCCTTGCTCGCCGGCAGTCTTGAAGAAAGATGTTGATCAAAAAGGAACCAACCCCCTGTCAACGAAATTCTGGTGCCTAGAGCCTAACTGCAAAAGAAGCAACCTAAACCCGCAAAGCTAGCATGCGCCGTACCCGCTCCGAATTGGCTACTAGACCTGCATGTAATAAGCTAGTGAGCCTACGCAGTAAAACTAGCTCAGTAATACTAGTCAGGGGGGGTTTTGGGAAAGAAGTCAAGCCCTGATTCACCAAGCATCTCACATCAGCCCCAAAAACCCCTAGTTTTCTGGTGCTGCTTCTTCTTCATGGGACGAACCCCCATCTCCCACCCGTCTGTGAAGGTGGGGCTGCGCAGCCCACGATCTGGGCTGCTGGGCATATCCGCACAAGGTGTGTGACTGGCTCCAGCACATTAAGCTACCCGGGCTCCCCCCCCCTTGCTGCAGATTTGCGGTAATGAGCGTGGTTTGGGCGATTATTCATACACATGCAGGAAAGAAATAAGAACTACGGATACACAGCACAGGGGTCTGTCTTGTTAGTGTGCCCTCCCGGGGCTGGATCATGGATGATGAGCTTTCCTAGATGCGAAATCTCGTGCGGGAGTTAGTTTGATGACGATGAGCGACACCAGCGCAGCAGGAGAAATCCCGTAGGCCGTGGGTGC